AAATTAATTTATGTGAAAAAATCTATTTTGAAAAAATTGTCATTTTCGGTCCTTTTTCCAGCACCTAGCCCATATATTAAAAAATATGAGCCTCAAAATTCGGTACTGTTACACTGCAAAAAATATCGATTTATAAGTTATGATCTAAATAATCATATATCTTTGTAAAATATGACAGTGACGTTGTGGGTCCTTATTGAAAATTTAGAAGATTCTGGAGAGTTTAAGCTGGACAATGATCACGCTAACTTGGATAGTCTCAAAACACTCCTTCTCTCACAGTCTGAAGTTCTCAAAGGTATTCACCCGCCTCTGGATAAGACTAGACTCCAGTTCTTTATCGATACTGAACGCATCCAAAAGCTTGCTAGCGGTACTTTACTACGAGCTCTGGAAACTACTTCTGAAAAGCCTCTCATTTTGCGGTACCCGTTCTCTGATAATAAGGGTAAATTAAAATGTCTTGTTTTTTTCTACTTGGCCACGTCTTGGTGTATCATACTAATTTTTTTTGTTTGTCGTTTTAAAGTTTCCATTCGCATAAATCTCGGCAGACCTTGGCTGGTTGCAACAATACCTCATAACTCCGGTATGTGGTTTAACTCGCGTCAACGTGCCATAGATAAATTCGATATTTTGAAGACGGATCCGCGCCCACACTTCTTCTTCTTCAATAATGATACGCAAACTGAAATTATAAACGAATATGAATTTAATGAGATGGTGGAACAAATATCCCCGAACAATAATAAAGTTCGCCAGGTGTCTGTGACAGTTCGAGTGGAAGGTTGGTTTATCTCGTTTAAGAAAGTCCTAATCAGTTATGATATGAATGCTCATATGTCCGATTTTCATGCTTCGGCAGGAATGAAAGCCTACAGTGAATGGAATTTAAGTGAAATCACTAGAGCCCTCTTTGGAGAAATGTGGGACTCTATAGATTCTACTCCTAAATTCGACAAAAGTGCAGTTTTGATCTTTTCATATTAGTGTACGTTTCTATGTGTTATGGTCGTATATAATTTAACTAATTTCTACACACAGATGAACTACCAAAACCTGAGAAAGAGATCGAAGTTCCGGATGGGTTTTATAGTGAGATCAGAAGAAAACTTGAGGCCTTCCAAACAATCAACAACGAACCCACTGTTCGTGAGTTCACTTCACCATTTCTCACAACGGCGGTTGTGATTTTGAAGAAAAATCAGCATAATTTAAAACTGAACGCGGAAATAAATCTCCAAGGAAGCCGGGGGTTTGGTCCAGTTGATTATTCTATCGAGAGTGATGGCATGTTAGTAATTGTTATTGAGGTAAAGAAAGAAGACTTCAATCAGGGTACAGCGCAAGCATTCGCCCAAATGCACAGCGCAGTCGAGGTGCAGGAAATTTCAATTCGCTCCTTTTATACCTATTCGATATCTAATTTGCTTCTCAGGCTTTAGAGAAAAAGCGCAAACTCGATCAGACTGACTTTGAAGAAGGCAAGTTTCCTGTCATGATGTATGGTATTGTAACGAATGCTCGCGAATGGGTGTTCATTCGCTGGGTCGGCGACTCTAAAAAACCGAAAATCGCGATGACAACGCAGTTGCCTTGTCCATTCGATGGTAATTTGTCTCGTGCGAAGGAAATTCTAGAATATATCATTGGGATTCTTGAATCACAGATCAATAGCATAATCACTCCATATAAAAAAATTAAAGTATAATGATCTCTGATTTAATCATTGGATCACTAGTTTTATCACGAAAAAAAAAGCGATCACATTGTATCGGATGATTTTTTATCAAACATATGAGTCATACATATGAGGAATCAATTACGTACCGAACTTGTTGAAAAGATTAAATAATCGATAATTCACCCTCATCTTTGCGTATATTTTTAACTAATAAATCTAGTTTATTAATAAAGAAAGATCTGCATCACCTGTGAGCTAACAGGTCGATAATTATATTGTTGATTTTTTTTTAAACCCAGGGGAGCAAAACATTCGTTTTTGATACACCTGCACCTACTTTTTTGATACTGATCGACATGCAGATCCCGGTAAAAAATAA